GAAAGAAAGAAAGAAAGAGGAAAATAAATAAAGAAAGAAAGAGAAAGAAAGAAAAAAAGAAGGAAAGAAATAAAAAAAGAAAAAAAGAAAAAAAAAAAAAAACGAAAGAAACATATTAGACAAAGAAAGAAAGAAAGAGACAGACAGACACACAGACACACACACAGACAGACAGACAGACAGACAGACAAACAAACAGACGGACAGACAGACAGACAAACAGACTGACTGACTGACTGACTGACCAGAGAAGGCAACAGACAGACAAACTGACAAACAGACAAACGGACAGACAGACAGAAAGACATACAAACCAGAGCAGACCGACAGACTGACAGACAGACAGAACAGACGGAGCAGACAGACCACAAAACTGTTTTGTGTTGTCCATGCATATCTTTCACCTATGCGGATTTCTTCCTGCGGTAGAGATTCGTTAATGCAACATAGATGATGTTCAACCATTCAACATTATTATAGTTCTTTCTTGTTTGAATAACAGGGGAGGGAGCAGGATTCTGAACCACCTTTTTTTTTCTCGCTCCCCTCATGTTTAAACATTTCTTTTTGCAATCGGACGCCATTGAACTTTCTGCCGATTATACACTCCGAAATTGGTCAGGACCGCAATGCAGAACAGACAGACAGACAAAGGGTGGGAAAGAGAGAAGCGCGTGCAGACGTGGAAGAGGGAGAAGAGGGGTGGATGCTAACAAACCAAGCATATAAATTACAGATCACTGGATGAAAGAATGTAGAGCCAGAGAAAGGAAACAACAAACACACTTAGTGCACACTCACATAGGGATACTGTGATGGTTTGTGTACATGTCGACAACAATAGAACAGACAGACAATGAGACCTCCACCAAGCCCGTGGTAAGAAAAGCAAAAACAACAACCCCTAATTCAACGATTGGCCTACTTGTACCCAACTTCCCTAGACGTACAACGCACCACGCACCTACAAACCTACACAACCGTCCAAACGGCAAACATCTACGAGCGCATTTTGGTAAAGATCCAAAGTACATGCATTTACATGGAAACCTACAGTAAGTGGATCGAAGGCTAGGACACACATTAGATAGACCTCCGGGTGCCTACGAGTCTTCAGAAGGGCGGAAACGAAAAAAACTACAAGGCTGAAAGGCCTGGGATTACGAAAGTAGAGACAACTGCCAACAGGTTCCGCCGTTGGAGCCCACCGAAATGTCGATCATTCAGAAAGAAAGAAAGAAACTTGAAGAAAGGAAGAAGAAGAAAATGGAAATGAAAAAAAAAAAAAAAAAGTAAGAAAGAAAGAAAGGAGAACAAGAAAAAAATTAAAATATATGGGGTTCACTACTGCGGGCCAAAATTACCGACAAAGTCGTTCTTCAATACCTTCATGTCCCCCACTAATGAACCTGATCTCTCTCTCTCTCTCTCTCTCTCTCTCTCTCTCTCTCTCTCTCTCTCTCTCTATCTATCTATCTATCTATCTATCTATCTCTCTCTTTATCTATCTATCTATCTATCTATCTATCTATCTATCTATCTATTTATCTATCTATCTATCTATCTCGCTCTCTCCACCCAATCAACCCACCTAACACCACGAAGACTTCCACGGAGTCCACGATTCGACAGGACAACCGTTATGCAGCACACACAATAGAATTCTCAAGCTGTCTTTTTTTTTGCGCACCCCCCCTTACGTGGCACTACTTTCCTCTTCTTCGCCCCTGCTCTGTTGCCATCCCTTTCCGCCTATCTGGCCTCCATCCGTTGCTGTCTCTCCTCAGCTTTCGCCTTCTCATCCAACATACCTTTATATTTCTCAACCCAGCGAGGCTTCGACAACCTATCCACCAGTCTCATGTCCTTGACCTGGATCGTCACCCTCTTCGAATGGAAGGCCACCTCATTGGTGTTCTCGAAATTGGCGACCAGGTACACCTCGACAGCCTCCATCAAAGCATGCACCGCCGTCATCTGAAACCTCACGCCCATACCCGGAGCAATGTCCTCCTCCACAACCTCGCGCACGAGCCGCAAGAACGTCCTGAAAGCCAAGCAAAGGTCGGTGAATCGTTGCAACTTTCTGATTTCCGACAAAGTTGCCATCTCGGGGCGTCGACGGCATCTGGGGACCTGAGTTCGTGCACCTGCGGTGTCTCCGGTCGCTGGCACCGCCTTGGGGTTCATCTTCTTTCTGTCTGCGGGCGTCTGCCCACGTGACGGTTCCGACGTGCACTTTTTCATCTTCCCCGGGCTCTGCGACATCGCGACATCGCTCGGGCCGCCCATGTCACCCTGTGTTGCAGAGCACCCCCCGACGCGACCAGGACCACACGGGCCCTCCACCTCAGCAGACAAACGAGAAAATTTTGAGCGCTTCTCTGTCCTCTTGCCTGGCTGCGCTGAACCTGCCAAGTCATTCTCCGCCAGATACTGAATGTCTCGCAGGAGTCCATCTGAGTAGGTTAGATGGAAAGGCACACCAAGCGGGTCTCTGAATCTCATGGTGACGTCTCCACCATGCTCATATGTCATGGGACATACGACCGGGACCCAACCAAGAACGGTCGTGCAACCGTGCCTGAGGCGAATGTGAGCCATGTATCTGTTCTGACCGTCGCCCTGCTCTTGGCTCGTACGACTCCCCTCAACCATAGACCACATCCCCTGATCAGCCATGGAGTTTTAACCTGCGCACACCATCTGACGCTCCTCCTCCTTTATCTTCTCCCAACAGCGCTTTGCGTGTTCAACCACCAGCACGTGGTCCTTTACATTTACATTGAAAATTGAGACACGTGTCAGAACCACGAGGAACTGCCAATGCTCCACAATGCCTGCATGCATCCATCCCAATAGGAGCCAATGCCATGATTGCGGTCTTGCTGCCATTGTCACCTTGCCATCAACCACTGCATGATGCAAACATACTGGGACCCAATTGACACGATAGCCATACTTTTTAGGGGCAATATGTTGCTGCAACTGTCCTTCAGGGACGACATGGGCCCCAATGTCCATGGCAGACAGAACGTCACTCCTCATTGTGACATGGCCTCATATTTGCGAGCATAGTCCATCATACGTGGCTTTCTGCCCTCTTGCATGCGTGTATGTGCTGCCATACGCACCAGTGAAGACTTTCCCTTCAACCACCTCCAACTCCACAGGGTTCCGAAGCCGCGGGAAAAAGCAGCCAGCAGTATGGGTAGGACATGCCATTGCCTTCTTCTCGTCTTCTGAGACCTCCCTGTCGAGGTTCCTGAAGGAGAAGTTGCCATTCACATAATGCGTGCTCCAGACATTTCCCATGGCATCACGCATCATCATCCTCGCACGGCCACATGGAATCGAGATCGCACATGGCACCCAACCCCACCTAGGATCCCTCCTCGCATCGCTCTCGTGGCACGTCGTACTCCCTGTTGCGTCATTCCCACCAATCACCCATGACTGTCTGCAATCAAAACTGTCGTACAAAAGATCGTTCAGCCTGAACTCGCCCTGCGCTTCCATAACACGCCACATTTCCAATGCATATCGCCCTTTCTCCTGTGGTGTTGCCTCATCGTTCAACCTTAATACTCTGTCAAACACGATTGACAGAGTTACGTTTCGCCATGTATTCATTTTGGGGGCAGGAAATGAAACCCATGTTTCATCGACTTTGAACGAAAAGTAGGGTGCTCCTCCAACAATACCCGGTTGAACACGACCCGGCACCCAATTGATGTCATATGGGTACTCTTCTCCTCCTGATGTCTTCACCACATTTTCATCTTTCACAATACACCCTGTTAGAGATTCCCTGCTGCCCAGACCTCCCTCCTCTCTCTCTTCCCCAACCTTTCCCGTCTCACAAGTGCTCCCTCCTGCGTCATTCTCTGTTTCATCACCATCACCCATCATCTCTGCAGTTTGTGCATATATTGTTGCAAGCACCTCTGCACAGTCTGCGGTGTTCCCTCCATCCGAATTCCCTTCCTTGCTGCCATCTGCAAAACCCTTCAGAATGTCCTCCGTCTCCAAGGCGCATGTCGTAGGTCACAGGAAGGAAAGAAAGAAAGAAAGAAAGAAAGAAAGGAAAAACGAAGAAGAACAAGAAGGAAAAAAAAAGGAAGAAGAAGAAAAAGAAAAAGAAAAAAAAAAAAAAAAAAAAAAAA